TTCTATTATGAGTTTATAAGTTTTGATGTACCGAAGTTTGTTCGGAGTCCCGGATGTGATCACGGACATGACGAGGAGTCTCGAAATGGTCGAGACATAAAGATTGATATATTGGAAGCCTATGTTTGGACATCGGATGTGTTCCGGGTGAAATCGGCATTTTACCGGAGTACCGGGAGGTTAACGGAACCACCCGGTGACCTAATGGGCCTTATTGGGCCTAGTGGAGGAAGAGGAGAAGGGGCCAAGGGGCAGCCGCGCGCCCCTCCCCCTCAAGTCCGAATAGGACAAGGAGGGGGGCGGCGCCCCCCCCCTTTCCTTTTCCCCCTCTCGTCCTTCCCCCCAAGTCCTAGTCCAACTAGGGAAGGGGGGAGTCCTACTCCCAGTGGGAGTAGGACTCCTCCGGCACGCCTCCTCCTAGGGCCGGCCGCACCCCCCCTCCCCGGTTGCTCCTTTATATACGGGGGCAGGCGGGCACCCTAGGACACACAAGCTGATCTACGGATCGTTCATTAGCCGTGTGCGGTGCCCCCCTCCACCATATTCCACCTCGGTCATATCGTCGCGGAGTTTAGGCGAAGCCCTGCGCCGGTAGAGCATCATCATCATCACCACGCCGTCATGCTGACGGAACTCATCCCCGACACTTTGCTGGATCGGAGTCCGGGGATCGTCATCGAGCTGAACGTGTGCTGAACTCGGAGGTGCCGTACGTTTGGTACTTGGATCGGTCGGATCGTGAAGACGTACGACTACATCAACCGCGTTGTCATAACGCTTCCGCTTACGGTCTACGAGGGTACGTGGACAATACTCTCCCCTCTCGTTGCTATGCCATCACCATGATCTTGCGTGTGCGTAGAATTTTTTTTGAAATTACTACGTTCCCCAACAGCAGCACCTTCTGTACAGAACCGGCGACCAAGAGGAAGCGCGGCCCGACCAGGCTGGCCCGCACGCCGAACATGGGAGGAAGGGACGCGTAGATCACGCACACCGATCGCCGCAGAAGCCGCCGCCGGCCGCCAACAACCACCGTATCCCACTGCCCGCGTGGCCGGGACACCATATCCACCACCCGCACGGCTGTTAGCCGGCTGTGCCTTGCCAATGGAGTCGCCGCTCCAGATCCAGGGTGTCCCACACATGAGAAGGGCAACCGAGGCCTCACCGCCACCATCCTTGGTGCCCCGGGCTTGCCCGACGGCTGCCTCAGGTGGCGGCAAGGGAGGGAGGAGGGAAGGGGTTGAGGAGGAGGGGCGGCTAGGGTTGGGAGGAGGAGGCGGGCCTGAGGAGGGGGAGGGTGGAGGTTGTGCTGACATTGCAAGCACAAGTGTTGTCTGCCATTATACATTAATTTTTTTCGAAAAGGATTAATAAGATAAGTAGTTATCTCCCTTGGAAAATGTCGAATTGATTCTCAGACCTCACAAACTCGAACAATTAAAGGGAGCACTGTTGGAGATTTCATAGTGGATAAAGTGTTAGAATTAAAGCCTAATTGAATTTACTAAAGATGTGTAACTAAATTACCATGATTTTTTGCAATTTAAAGGAAGTAGAAACTTTTTATGATGTAGAATATTGAGATTTTGTGAAAGACAAGGAATTTCCCTATCCGTCCATTCCAACCTAAATAAAAAATTGACTACTAACTGTAATATAAGAAACAAGCAGTTTCTATTGTATTTTAGCTTACGGTTTGAGAACATATAATTTGAAGTTAAAACGGGTGACATGCGATTGTATGAATTTAGGAAAACCACAATATTATTTTCTAATATCTATTACAAGACATTCATATTTGTGTCTGAGTTATATTCGTCCGATGAGCCTGACATCTCATTAAGTTTCTCTCATGTACGTATGAAAATCATGGAATTAATAAATGCAAGTGTTAGACATGTTCACATAAATTTGATAAGTATCTCATAAATCCATTTCAGAAGCCGATTGGTAAGGTGTGGGAAGCTTTTTTCCCGTCGTTACTGATCTGGTTTAGAACATTTCTTCAAATTATACACATAGAAAATGTTTCTTGCAGTTTTGGAAGTGTTATTTACTTATTTATGGGTGGACCATTAAGCAAACGTTGACAACTAATTTTTTTTACATGTGTAGGGGTATGGCATGATCACTCTAGCATCTGTGCTCACGGCACATCCATCGTTGTCGGGTGACACCTCTTCCCATCCTTTGTCGCTGCGGGTGGCGTTCTTCGACAGCTCCCTGTACGTCATCGGCTCATCGCCATGGCGCAGGGCGCGGACAATCCAAATGCATTGGCCTTTGCCGCTGACCAGTTCGATCCCAACCACCCCAGGGAATGCGCCGCCCGCAGCTCCTTGTTCAACTGGTGGTACTTCTCACTGGCTGTAGGTATCACTATTTCTGTTGGTGTAGTCGGCTACATACAGGAGAACATTGGCTGGGGAATTGGGTTTGGCATGCTCTGCGTCATCATGCTCGGTGCCTTCGTTGTCTTCTTCCTTGGCACCCCTACATACCGCCTCTATGCACCCACTCCCGGTGCAGAGAACCCCTTTGCCCTCCTTGCTCGTAGCCTTGCCGCGCTAGCCCAACATGACAATGCCACTTCGAGCTCATTGCTTGGTAACAAAAAAGAATACCAGGTAGAACAGAAAGAGGATGCGGTAAAAAAGGAGGAGGCGCGTGGCGTGGTACGATTGCTGTCTATCTGGGCGGCATGCCTGGCATATGGTGTGGTGTTTGCGCAGTTCATGACACTCTTTAACAAGCAGGCCCGAACCCTGGACCGCCGCATCTTTGGCAGCTTGGAGTTACCGCCGGCAGCGCTTCAGATGTTAGGGCCTGCAACAACTCTGTTGTTCGTCCCCATATATGATCGTGTGCTGGTGCCAATGCTCAGGCGCGTGACAGGCACCCTGTCGGGTCTGACGCTACTACAGCGCGTTGGCACGGGCATGACGCTGACCCTGGCTACGATGTTGGTGGCAGCATTGGTGGAAACACGGCGCCTTGAGACAGCACGCGAGCATGGGCTGGTGGACAATGCTGACGCAACAGTGCCAATGTGCTGGGCGTGGTTGGTGCCACAATATGTTTTGATCGGGGTGGCAGGCGTGTTCGCGGAAGTCGGGATGCAGGAATTCTTCTACGACCAGATGCCCAGTGAACTACGCAGCTTGGGCATGGCCCTCTACTATAGCGTGATCGGCATGGGGAACTTCATCAGTGGCGCTCTAATATCCCTGATCGACCACATCACCAGCAGCGGTGGTGGCGACAGCTGGTTCGCGGACAATCTCAACCGTGCTCACCTCAACTACTTCTACTGGCTGCTTGCCGGCCTCAGCGCCACTGAGCTGGCGCTCTTCCTCCGGTGCGCAAGCACCTACGTCTACAGCCACAAGAGGCTCCGCTGAAGCAAGGACCTACCATGTACTACAAAATGCAGAGCTCCTGCCATTCCCTTACAAAAATGTTGTTGTATACTGAAATTTGGGACGATAAATTATGAGCGCGTGTCTACAAATCCAGGTGATCGATGAGCTACAAAGAATTTCTCACTCCATGATTTGGGTAGATAGAAATGTATATCCGCATACACCAGCGCTATATTAATTAATATGGTAGTACTTGGCATTTCACAAAGCACATTTCTACATGCTGATTTTTCTTAACTATCGAAAGCATCCACTTGGTTTGGTCAACAGCGCCACATTAATCGTCTTGGGACTATTAATCACGTGGCAATACTTAACTTAGCAGGTCTACTCTTGCTGCCTGCAACGACGCTTAAGTTAACTGTCATCAGTGCTCGGTGCAGTGTGCGTATCTTACTTAATCTGCACTTGCCGCCTGCAACGCTTCCTACTTGATCGTAAGTAACTACTACCTACTACAATGCAGTGTGAGTATCTATTGGAGTGCGTGATGTATAATAGCTTCCCAGTTGCTAGATCCAATATCGATATCTCCGCTCTCCAAAATTCAAATCCAACACCTTACTGGACGTCCACTAGCTATGCGCCACCACACATTTTATCGAGATCCGTGCAGCAATTTTCCAGAAAGAACACTCAACTGATCACAGTTCATGTCTTCAAGCCCCTAACAGTTTGCAAGGAAACAACTGCGTACACAATCTCTTTTTTATGGACAGGACCATGCTGAGCATCATCATCCAGCATATCCAAGTCAGGGCATTTGGTCTCTCTCTCAACATGAACTAATGATGGTAAACATTTTTAGAAAATAATATGAAGCAAATTTTCAGTAACAATCTGGAAAGAAACAGAATTAACAAGCCCTGGTTATGTACGCATTATTCAACTAAAATTAAAAAATATATCCAAAATCCTTCACGGTTTCGAATCACCGGTAAACCACATATATACATCGTGAACATGAAAAATATTTCCACGTGTTAAATCCACATCACAGATCATTAAAACACGGAATCCGGAGCTGAGAGCATTCATACAAGATAAAATAAATTTCAGATCAGAGAGCGTTCAATGAAAACCCTTCCCTTTCGCAAAAAAGGAAAAGAAAACAAGAACTCTCCTTTTTTTTTGAAAAGAAGGATTACCCCCGGCCTCTGCATCTGAGCGATGCATGAGGCAGACTGCAGCGAACGGCAATACGACTACTAGTTGCGTTACGGGGTATTGTAGAGCGGTGATGAGGGAGAAGGAGAAACAGAATCTGGATCTGATCAGGGTGAAACAGAGACGCTGCATCTGGGCTTTGGGGGATATTGCATGGAACTGTGATAGCTGCAGGTTGTAAGTGCAAACAATTGCCATCAGCCCTTGGATGTATATTGGATGGATAGAATAGTTAGAGGACGTGCGACTAAACCAGACTCCCCAGCCCTATCTCGATTGATTGAGTGAGGGAGTGAGTGCCTCGATCCGCTATAAAATGGCAGCATCTTGGACGTGAGGAACCCACACTCTCACTCCCTCACTCACTCCCTCACTCATTAGCAGAGGCTCACTGAGCTTTGACCGATGGCGTCGAGCGGTGCAATGGTGTTGGCCATGGTGGGCCTCCTCGCCGCCGTGCTGGTGAGCCCTGCTGCTGCGGCGGCGGCGGAGGAGTTCATCTCCATGCCCACCGACGACGTCGGCGACCACTCCTACCGCGTCCACGCCACGTTCTGCCCCGACCTGGAGAGGATTGTGCGCGACAAGGTGGCGGATGCGCGCAGAAACGACATCGGCGTCGTCGCCGGCCTCCTCCGCATCTTCTTCCACGACTGCTTCCCTAACGTACGTTGTTGCCCGTGCTCTTACTTACTACTCCTCTTTTTTTTTTCGAAAAGGAGGTTGGAACCCCCGGCTTCTGCATCATTACCTACTCCTACTATTTATCAAGTATAAGTATGTACATCTTGTGTATCCATCGTGCAGGGCTGCGACGCGTCGCTCCTGCTGGAGACAAGTCACCTCTACTCCAGCGAGCGGGACCTTCCCCAAAACAAAGGGCTGCACGAGGGCGCGCTCCAACTCATCCAGCGTATCCGCGATGCCGTGCGCGACGCCAAGTGCACGGACGTGTCGTGCGCCGACATCACCATGCTCGCCACCCGGGATGCCCTCATGATGTCCGGGGCACCAAGGTACGACGTGCACCTTGGCCGGAAGGACAGCAAGCGCCCTGCCTCGTTTGCCGAGGTCAGACGCTTCCTGCCCGCACGCGATGCCAAGATCAAGGATCTCATCCGGGTCTTCGAGGACCGCGGCTTCAACAAGGGTGACCTAGTCGCGCTCTCCGGCGCACATACCATCGGCAAGGCAACCTGCCCGAGCCTAGAATTCCGCACCGGGGAGCCCGCCTGGTTCGTCAAGGCAATCAAAGACAATTGCCCCAGATCAGGGGACAAGAAGCACATACTCGATGTTACCACCCCCGACGTGTTCGACAACAAGTACTACGGCAATCTCCTCCTAGGGTTGGGTGTGCTTGGCACCGACATGGAGCTCCTCCAACACCAGGAAACAAGATTTTTTGTCGAAAGCTGGGCCAAGGACGAGCATCTAGGGTGGTTCCATGGGCACTTCGCTGCCGCCATGAAGAAGATGGCAGATTTGCCTGTGGACCCCGACGGCGAGTACCGCGACAACTGCTTCAGGCCCAAGTCGTTTGTGAGGAACCTCACCGCAGACGGTTTCTCGGCCTCGGCTTGAGAGATCATCGGCTCAGATGGATCACCAGCCGATCGACCGCATAAATTAATCTGCATCCGTCGACCGCACGTCATGCCATATGTGCATGTAATAAGAGCAGTACGCCTAGCTTATCTTTTGTTTGATTGCAGTTAGCTTTTGTATGCCCACCTAGTCTAGAGCCACTCGGCCTGTGGGGCCTTGTATCCTCTCAGTTCAACAACTATTCCAGACAGCTTTCTGTTGTTGGGAGCTGCTCTCAAGTTTTATCTTACAATTGTTTTCCATCCTTTAGGTTTTACGCCTGTTTCTGTCATGAAAATTAATGGAGATGTAAGATTGTGTTTTTTAGCTCATGGAGAAGTAAGTTATTATAGGTTTTCTTTTTTGCTCAAAGAGTAATAAGCTAATCAAAGGCAATGAGAGACCCAAACATCTGATGTTTTAGAGCACCGCAAAGAATTAATGTTGCGATATAGACCTGATCCGAAAATAACATGCTCCGTACTAGCCCTAGTCTCAGAGAAAGCGGTACTTTTCATAATACTTAAACTTTTTCTGCAAGGATAAATAATAGTAATCTATCAACAAGTATAGTATCGCAACAATTGTCAAAGCAAGTATGCGTTCCACATGCTTCAAACTTTCGGGTCGGGTTTCAGTTGGAAACTGGCTAGATCCAGGGACGGATAACATTATTGGTCTTTTTCACCTGTCTTTTTCTCCTCACAAACTAGTTCCATTATTATCCATGTGCTCCCTCTCCAAAGACCCTGATCAGCACAAGCTACTTGGCTAACAATAGCACCATCTCATCTTCGGACGTGAGGAACACACACAAGCTATTTTGCATCATGTTTCTGGTTAGTGTTTTTGCATGGTAGACTTAATATTTTCTACATTTTATCGTGATCGCTCGCCCATTTTTTTGTCCCATTTCACCAGGACCTCCAGAATAAGGAGATTTGGAGCATATTTTAGAAAATCCTTTTTTAAATATGTTGATTGGACGCACGGGAACCTTCCTTACAAAGGGATGAACACTTGGGATGAAACCACGCACCGTTTGGAGGTTCCAGAAAAGAAGATGACGCGTGGTTGTATCGTGTGCTGCTGCCTTCTCCTGATCAACTATTTCCTCCCCGTGCAATCATGTCTATGAGATGATAAACAGAGAGACTCCACCATACGAAATAATTCCATGACGACCTTCATTGCGATCCATGCCATCTTCACTGGCACTCTCAAATCCATAACCGTGCAATCCAAGGAGCATGCACAAAACGTTTAATAGCACTTTTATTAAATTCGTGAACCTTTTTGCAACTTCATGAATTTTTCTAAATTTCTGAATCTTTTGAAACCCATGAACTTTTTATCAAATTCATGCGTGAATGTTTTCTCAAGTTCATGATTTTTTAACTTTGTGATTTTTTAAAAAATTGAGAACTTTTTCAATTTCCCCGAAAACCGGTCAGTGTCGATGACTTTCTAAAATTCTGTTTCCTACTTTTTTTTTTCCAAAAAACGCGTATGTTTTTTTTTCTTCAGAACCAGTCGTTATTAGTTTTTTTCTGGGCAGTGAACAGCGAGCGCAGCCGAGCGAATATACTAATGGGCCGGGCCATCTCAGGAGCCCATCTCGAATACTTCGTCGTTTAGGCTATCTCTCGTCAAAAACAGAAAAGGCGATCTGTATCGTACTAGGAAATTCCTCCCTGGTCTAAAAAAAACCGATAGTGGGATGTTTTACACCATCATGTGGCCCAACCCATCAGGTCAACATGGACAGCGATGTTGGAAGTGTATTCAAAGGGGCGCGTCCGAGGTGCTATCTGGAGTCCGTTTTGGTGTAGTACGGGACTATTGGCAGGCTATCCGATGTGTTCTCGGACACTCGTCTAGGTTGAACACTATCCGGTTCTTCATCTCGCACCATAGATTTGGCGTTGCGCTAGGTGCTTCCATCATATCCACTCCTCTTGCTACCAAATTCAGACTCATCTTTGGTGTCCGAGTAAAACAGAGTGTGCAATGATGAGGGGTTACATTGCTGCGGTTATTTCATTGTTGGGCAAAATGGAAATCTAGGTGCAACAATAATAACATATCATCAAGCCTGCATATTTTTATGAATAGTAACGACCAATAAAAAAATGAATTAAAAAATCAGTTTGAGTGTTCTTTGTTATGAGGTCTGTAAATCCAAAACCCCGTCCTTTTCTTTGGCTTGAATGTTTTCTTTGCTGATGCAAAAAGATCGTAAGTGTTAAGAGTTGTTGTCAACTATTTCTGTTTCATCTTTCCTTTCCTGCTACACATATATTTGCAAGTGTTTATTTTGTACTGAGACCAGGATGCCTTTTATTTGCTGTTCTTAATAGAATTTCAGAATCTACCCCGCTAGCCTTTACCAACCTAGTATGGGTGTGAGGTTTGTTCTGGCAGGGCGGATTGACATATCAGAATCTACCTCGCTAGCCTCTTCCTTGCACTGATGATGAGCTCGGCCCGATAAGCAAGCTCCAGCTCTGTGCTTCCCGCCCCCTCTTCATCCACCACCAAGGTGGCCTCCTGCAAATAGCACCCCATAGCAGCTTGTACCTATCCTCATTCTCAATCTTTCTTCCCACTTCTATCGCGGCAAGACCTCAAGAACATATCAAAGAAAAAGAGAACGAACGGCCTCTTGCAGCGCCACCAACACAATATTTATCTACCAGAACTATTGTTTCGGAGATCAATATCAAGGTTTTCTTAAAAGGATTTGCAACATCGTCGATTTCTAACTATAAAACCCAGCATAACGACAAATCAATATCAATGTAAATGTCTCTCACTACATGTAACGAACTAAAAAATACAACTTTTAACTAGTTCACGGAAAGAAATAAATATGTAGAAAGCTGCAGAAAAATGCCAAATGGTCAAGAGCAATAGCATGCAGCTGAATTGTTACCAAAACCAAAACGAGTGCCTTACTCCGTAGGCTTTCAAGATATTTTTCTACTACTATATACTAGTGCATTACACAGTATTTGGTTCTATGTTACTACACTCTTAATGTAAAGAAAGTAAAGTAGCGTATCATGAGGAAATGAAATGAACTAAAGGAGATACCATATTCCAAAGAGTAACTCATTGTGGTGTCTTCAATTTTTCTCAAAATTGCAATACACTCAAGATATTTGATGCATTTTTCTCCAAAAATAACCAAGATAAGAAGACGTACTAGTAATAATCAGAGAAACGATACTGAAACATGTTCTGGGATTACATAGTAGAGTTCAATACTGCAGTAGTAAGTAGTAATACTGAAATCAATACGATATACTATATTGGTAGCACTGAAAGGAGCAAAATGTTTCCATCATGCCAAGCTCCCATGCAGCTGGTAGTTTCTGAAATCTTGATTCTAATGCCGATTACTTGGTAGGGTCAAGGACATGGCCCGCGAAAACGATCACTCCAGACCGCTCCTCCATGATGAGGAAACAAACGGGTGGTCGGCAACAAACGGAACCATGTCCGGCGGCAGACCACCACCAGAAAACCCGCGCATGATCGAAGCAGCCTCGGTCCCTGCCTCGTCCACCTTGATGATCACCTTCTGCATGGCCTTAGTCACGAACATGGGCCTCCGCATGTCAGGCTTCTGGAACATGCCTCGCAAGTCACCCACGTCGCGAGAGAACGGCAGCGAGAGCCCCAACCGTTGGAGGTCCTTTCCAAGGTCCCAGTCAAAGGAGATCTCAAACTTGGGCAGCGTAACCTGGACATTCACCACCATCGTCTTGGGTAGGATGCTCTGCAGGTAGCTTGGCGCAGCGGTGATCATGTCCACCATGTTCGCGATGCCTAGTTGTTCATCGGGGAGGAAGAAAAACATGCTGAACTGAGTGTCATCAGCGTCGACAGCTGCAGCGGCGCCTGGACCGCGGCGACGCTTGAGAGGAGCTGCGTGGGCGGCATCTGCCTTGGTTTTCCATGGGCCCAGATAGGGAAGCTTGAGCACCTTGAAACCATCCACGCAAGAGATAAACTGGGATTGAGAATACTTGCTCATGAACTTTGCCTTGACGCAGCTGCCGTCGAGAAGGTGAAACTGGCGAGTGGCGAGGCGCCGTGTTGGCCCGGTGGAACGGATTGCGCCACAGGCCTTTGAAGTAGACCGCGTTGGCGACCACGAGGGCGGTGTCAGCTTTGATGTCGCTTGGAGAAAAGAGGGAGTTGATGAGGTTGTTGGTGGCCTTTTTCACCCAGTCGTTCATGATCTCCACTGCTTCCTCCGGCTGCACGGCAAAAGAAATTTTAATAGAGATCTCATTATAAATTAAATATGATGGATCAAAGGGTATGCACAAATTCAATGAGATCGAATTAAAGAACAAAATATGCAATATGGTAGTGTAGGCCTGCCTGGGATTAGTAGTAGCATGGACTTACAGCGTCGGCGAAGTTGACGGTGCGAGCCTGGGATTTGTAGGACTTGGTGGCAACATCCCGGAACGCTTTCTTGAGCCCGCCGCAGGAAGCGTCGACCCAGACACCGCCGCCGAAGAGCACGCAGGGGGCGCTCTCGTCCTCCATCTGGTCGGCGAGGACGGTTTCCGCCACGCGCCGCACGAAGGCGGCCAGATCAGCCGCCGACGGCGCGCCGAGGAAGCTGAGCAGCTGGGCCTCCGTGGCACCGCGCGCCCCCGCGGTAAGCAGCGCAAGCACCGCGTGGATCGACAGAGGCGAGAACGCTATGTTCTCGCTCTTGCCGCCGAAGCCGTCTTCCGCGAGGTGCTTGGCGAGGCGGAGCGCCAGGGCCGTCTGCCCGTCGCGGACTGCGTCGGCCATGATCGATAGTCGTGGTTGCGAGGTTGCGATCGAATCGGTGGTGACTGGCTATCGCGTGCCACGGACGCACTTGTACCATATATACACGCAAGCTAGCTATCGCGTGCCACAGCTGACGATGTGTTCAACGGCGCCGCTTCAACTTTCGAGGTCCATTATTACCCCGCGTCTGTCCG